CCTTAATAGGATAAAATGAAAGTGTACTAGGCAGTTACTACTAAGAGTGTAGAATTATCATAAACCTGGACATTGAAAATTAATAATACATTATAGGTTCTTGTTATTATGTCTCCCAATATTGATGACACTTTTACAATGTCCCAGACAAAGTACTCTCCAGCTATGGCTAATGGAAAACTAACTCCTTTGCAATGCAGCCTATTTCATTGTAGGATAATTATAGTTTCTCATATCTAGCTCTCTGCAACTTTCACTTCTTAGTTCTAATTCCTTTGTGTACAATAGAACATACTCTCTTTTCCATATGAGAGCCTTTATAATACTATCACCCTTCCTCAAACCCTGCTTGGGTTTTCTCTTCTCCAGTCTTAATATTCTGGTTTCTCTTGGCCATTACTCAAATTATACAGTTTCTAAGCGTCTCATCTTAATAAGTTCCTCTTGAACCTCTGTTCTTCTCAAAATGTGATACAGAATGACCATAGTACCTGATGATTAGCCAAATTACAGTGGATTTTTCATCTTCCTTGATTTGAACTTTTTCTCTCTGATAATGACACAGTTTCATTATTTTTAAAAAGCATATAATACTTATTTGAATTACATTGAATTTATGATCAACTACAATTATCAGATTTTATCCAAGACAGATAGATCTCCTTTAACTTATATCAATGGAATTTATTATTTGAGATTAAATGTAGGATTTTGTATTTAACCATGAGAAACTGTATTGTATTCAATTTGAATACTGGCCATTTGAGATAAATTTATAACTTGGTTCTCTCACATGATATCCTAATATTCGTCATTGGCAAATTTTACATATATTTAGATAAAAATATGTTCACTAGGTAAGATATCTGAGGGATACCTCAAACAATGCTTTACAAGCAGGGGAACACTGCTCCCAGAGAACATTGCTAATGTCTAGACAGTCTTAGTTTGTATCCACTGGGTAGAGACCAGGGATGCTGCTAAACAACTTACAGTGTACAGTCAGCCCCCACCCCAAACAATTATCCTGTCCAAAATGTCACTAGTGCAAGGTTGATAGGCATAATCTTTATCAATTAGCTAGAATATATAATAATCATACTTAAATCACATTTTATAAATGCACTACAGAAGCGAAAAGACCATAGTGTCACACTATGAAACAAAAATGCAGGGAAGAACAGGCTTTTCTAATTGAAAATAAGTGCACACCCAAACCAAAGCATGAACAATATGGTATGCAATACATGTATTATTGTAATCATGAGTTAGAGGTAACAATTGTCAATTAAGAAAAAATTTTACTGGTATGACACCTCTATCTTACATGCCTTAAGAATGAAAAAGAAATTAAAAATGGAAGGCATACATTATACTATAACCTTATATCACACTACATTGATAATACTATTCACAAGAAATAGCATATGTTTATAAAATCCCATGCAGGTCTGTGACGACAAAATGTTATAACTCACTGGGAATACAATATAGGGTGATGTAGAACTAAACAAAATGTGGCCATTTGTGCTATAAATCCATTTTAGGGAATTTATTCTAAGTAAATCTTTAAATAGAAAAAAATCACTGCAACAGTACAATCTTTAATAATAGAAAATGACAAACATTTAAAGCACTTAATAATGAAGGAATAACCAATCATAGAGAAACAGCCAATGTCACCTTAATGTCACAGGGACAGTGTAAACTTCTGAAGATATTATAGGCTTTATCAACACAAAGACCTATATTTAAATCCTGGTGCCACCCTTACCTAGCTATATGACCTTGGGAAGCTGCTTAACATGTCTTTGGTTCATTTTCTCCTTTAATAAAAGGAAATAATTGTGCTTATGTCAGAGGATTGGGAAGATTAAAAATCCAAAGGGACTTACATGGCATCTGAAAATTAAAACCTGAATAAGGATTCCTTTTTCTCTCTTGCAGATGTTAAAATTGTGAAGACTAAG